CTGTGGGGACGGGGCCTTTCAGCCAGTGGCCCCCAGGCTGTGGAGACGGGGCCTTTCAGTCAGTGGCCCCCAGGCTGTGGACCAGTTTGACCTGCAGCTTCGTTCTGCTGACTCTGTGGAGGTTTTTAAAAAGCAACTGAAAACACTTTTAGTCTCTCAGGCTTTATGTCATGATTTTATTCTGCTTCTTGTAGTTCTTAGGCTTGTTTTTATTCTTTGTATAATTTAGTGTTGATTTTTATTGTACAGCACTTTGTGATTTCATGTCTGTGATAAGCGCTTTATAAATGCACTTTACTTACTTACTTACTATTGATTGATTGGTTGATTGATTGATTGATTGATTGATTGATTGATTGATTGATTGATTGGTAACAGGACCTGTTTGCCATGTTTTGTGAACAGAGGGTTTCATGCAGCCTTTGTGCTTTCTTTCTTTCTTTGGTTTAACTGCTTCAAGTGATCTTTGCAGTCAGTCACAGGTGACGTGACGTTTGACACTAAATACTTGACAGAGGAAGTTTAGTCATCACTGAACGAGTGAACAATCATGGTCTGTAATTGAAATGAATTGTTTTGAATGTTGTTGATGTGAGTTTTGGTTGTTTGGCTTTCAGTCTCAGGTTTGAATAGATGTTAGATTAGAACAGACGACATGTTGGGATTTTTCTCTCATTTAATTTACCTGCTTTTCCAAAGCAGACACAAAGCAGTGTAAACATCAAAAACAAAATGCAGTGATTTACAGATAAGTGAAATCCTGTTTGTAATTAAAAATAATACAAGGACAAGTGGTGTTTATTTAAACTGGTTCTATTGTTCATCCTGTACATTTATTTTGGTTGATGGTCTCTGTTTTTCATTTCTGATCCAGACTGCGAGCCAGAGGAAGTGTCTGACTGGTCCTTCGATGAGAACTGTCTCTTCTGCTGCTTAAGACGTGAGAAAACCAAGGTATTCTGCCTCTAAACACGTTCCCTGCCATAACTTATGACTCGGTTCATGGATTAGACCCTGGATGACGACCCATCAACGTGCTCAACGACTTGTTAAAAACGTTTTCTTCTTGTCAAATGTGGAAAACCTTTAAAGTTAAAGTAGGTTAGATTTTTTCATGCTACTCTTTTCACTCTAAATTAGCTTGAAGACAGGTGAGTCTCCCCCCCCCCCCCCCCCCCCCAGGTATTGTGTAGTAGCCATTTATTGTTCTGGATGTCACCACGGGGGCGTATAGGGCACAGCCGATGTCATAAAGAGACAAGTGGAGGATGAATTGTTTCTTTATCTTTGAAAGATGAGGTGAGCAGTTTTTACTCTTTGCTATATTTGTTTTGAACTTTACAATGTTTATTTGCAAATTATATAGATTAGTCTGGTCACCATTAAACTTAATTTCAAATAGAGAAATTGCATTTCCTGTGAAAATGCAGTGTGAATGCTTATTGCTGAAGAACTTGTTGAAAAACATCTGAAGTTAGCTAAAATAAAAAGGCACACTGAATTGTAGCTGAAATGGAAGAACAAGCCTAAATTAGCAGAAGAAAGCAGAAAGAACATATTTGCTGAGTTTGGTTTAAATTAGCATAAATTAGCACTATAGAACTAGCACAATACAAAATTAGCTCTTTCTTGAGCAAGAAAGAAATGCAGATTTACGAAAATGTAAATCTTCAAACTAAATGAGCAGGACACCTAATCCTGAATTGCTCCCTGGTCACTTACGTAGCTGCCCACTGCTCCACCTGCGTGTATCCCAGGTGCGATGGGTTAAATGCAGAGAGCCAATTTAGTCTTTGTATGGGAACAATGATGACAACACAAAGCACTTTGTTTTTTTATTTATTTAAATATTAGCTTCAAACACATGTGTACTAGTGTCAGACACATTTGTAATGTAGAGGATACAGACTGGTGTGTGTGTGTGTGGGGGTTTTTTTTGGGGGGGGTCATCCTCCTCCACCTGAAAATGATAAATAAAGCAGATTTCCTGCATTCTAGTGTATTTTAACGGGTTGTTAAACATCTACATTTACCTACATAAGTGCAATAAACACTTGATTCAATAACTATTTAGAGTAACAAGAAGTAGTCTGACCAACAGCTCTCCTTGTGTGAATAGAGCACGCTCTGCTTCTCACACATCCTAGACCACCCCCCACGTTGAAAACTGCCGGAACTAACATAGCACTAAGCTAGTGGCATGCAATACAGACACGTTAGCTAAGATGCAACAGACGTAGTGCTCCACTTTTCTCACACATCCTTACCCCCCACCCCGTCAACAACTGCCAGCACTAACGTGGCACTAAGCTAGCACGCAAAACGGACGTGTCTCCCACTGCTCCCCTGTGAGTGCCCTGCCAAGGCTCATGACCTCGGGGAAACTGCATGCGATGTGGAGTTGTTGTAGGTAACCAGGAAAACCTGGAGTGGATTTGTAGTGGTTTGACAATTCTCCTATTAATCAAGTGGAATGGATTCAATCACAAAGAAATGGACAGCGCCGGGTGAACTAATATTTCATGGTAAATGTGTGTGGGGGGCCCAAATGAATATTTTTTAAATGTGGGGGGGGGTTCACGTTCCCTTCACATATAATTGTTGTGACGCCTATGCATCATATGACCGCTCAGACATGAAAGCATGAATTTAATGCAAACGTTCATGTGTTTTTAAATGTTGTCTTTGAGTTCTTTGGAATTTGGGACTGTGCCTGAACCCAAACCGCCACCCTCCTCCCTGCAGGAACCGGTGAGCTTGTTTTAGTGCAGATTTAAAGGTGTGCTTTTCAGTTTTTGAACGTGTGACCTGACAAAGTGTCTCTGATTATTAAATAATCTGAAAGTCTTTTTCTCTCCTTCTTTACACATAGTTCCATGTAATGTAAAAACATCTTTTTGTTCCACCTTTGTCAACGCTGACATCTTTAATTTGCTCCTGCAATTATTACCTGATGTAAAAAGTCAGTTCTGAAATATTTGAGTAAAGGCATGTAGTAAAAATCTGAAGTCCTTGAATAAACTGGACCTGGAGCATTCACAGTAAAGAAATGATTAGATTTTTAAAAAGACGTTGAGCCCTTTCACTTTCTTTCTTGTGTAGGATGAATAGTTTGTTGGACGGTGAAAATGTTTCACACAAATGTTAGACTAAAGTTCAAAATGTTACTGAGAGAAAATGTGGATTACTGTCCAACAGGTCTTTTGAAATTTGGCTGGAATAATGGAAGTGATTTCTTGCTCATGTTAGATGACATTTCCTTCAGTACGTCCCTTCCTTCTTGTGCACGCACACATTCAGGTGTGTTTCCCCCTTTTTTTAGATTCCATAACTCCAACAATGCTTGTTTTTTTAGTTCAACCATCATGTCTTGAGTTGAAGGTGAATGTGTGACTGTGATGGCTGGAGGCGGATGTTGACTTGAGGATGAGAAATTGACTGAGTTATTGGCATATCTATGCTTTTCAACGTCTGAAAACTACTGTGGCAGTAGTACAAGTACAAGATTTGTTCAGTGCTTCATAACATATTTTACTAACACATGCACAAGTACACACACTGACTCGGTCAAAAGTATAGTCATCTGATTTTGTCTTTCGGCAGTGCTTAATGATGAGGGAAAAGCAACATACATGGAAATATTTCAGGTGCCCCCCCCCCCCCCCCCCACACACACACACACACACACACACACACAAGCTTTAAAAACTTAAGTTGTACACACATTTGTGAATTATTACAAATCTGTGAAAAAGATAAGGTATGTCGGGGCAGTGGTGCAGTGCAACTTGAATCAGACCCACCTGATGTGTTAACGCTCGTGTAAATACGTGTGAACGACAAGTTGCTGATTAGATTCTTCAAACTGATCATTTAGTAGAAAATAGCACATTAAACATTTTTGTCCAGCATTTACTCTAATAATTTGGTGCTAAGTCTTTTCCAAATAATGAGTAATTGGTTCCATTTTATGATTGTTAATAATAATTAAGTCCCCTGTACTCCATCCATCCATCCATCCATCCATCCATCATCTTTTACCCGCTACTTCCATTTTGGGTCACGGGGGTTGCCATGCCCATGTCCAGCAATCACTGTGCGAGGGGCGGGGGACACCCTGGACATGTCTCCAGTCCATCACAGGGACACATAGAGACAAACAAGACAAACAACCATTCACTCTCTCTCCTTGGGACAATTTAGAGTTACCATCAGTCTAACATGCATGTTTTTGGTCTGTGGGAGGAAACTGGAGTCCCTGGAGAAAACCCACGCATGCACGGAGAGAACATGCAAACCACATCCAGAAAGGCCTCCGGACCGGGATTTGAACCGGCAACCTTCTCGCTGAGAGGCAGCAGCTCTACCAGTTGCGCCACCTTGCTGCCCTTCCCCTGTACTCAACGTGCAGAATAAGATGCAAGAATAATTTTACAACAACTTTGTCACTGTTCTAGTTTTTCAGCTTGTATTTTGCCAACTGTAAAAACACATAACGGGCGGCACGGTGACAAGTTGATTGAGCTGCCTCCTCTCAGCGAGCAGGTCGCCAGATCGAATCCCGGCCAGTGGGTGGAGTTTACATGTTCTCTGCGTGCTGCGTGGGTTTTCTCCGGGTATTCCAGTTTCCTCCCACAGACCTAAAACATGCATGTTAGGCTGATTGGTAACTCTAAATTGTCCCCAGGTGAGAGAGTGAATGGTTGTTTGTCTCATTTGTCTCTATGTCCCTGTGATGGACTGGAGACCTGTCCAGGTGTCCCTCACCTCTTGCACTGCTGCAAATGGGCACCAGTGATCCCTGTAACCGAAAAGGACGAAGTGGGTAAAGATGATGGATGGATGGATGGCTGTCTGTCTGTCTGTCTGTCTGTCTGTAACTACAAATCGTTGTGGTTGGACCTTCTCAAGCTGTCAGGTCCTTGTGTGACAGTATTTGGGCGTCTCTTCTGAGATACACACTGCGATGCTACACATGAGTGCGGCGTGCAGAGACGTCCAGCTCTCCAGAGGTCCTGCCTCAGCATTTCAATCTAGGTGCCTTTGACGGGGCCGTCGGACACCTTCAGTGTTTCCAACCATTCCTACATCTGGCTTCATGCCATGACTCAGTTTGGTCCAAGGTTCATGTGTTGGACAGGTGGACTCACATGTGTCTCTAGAACCGTTTGTTCTTCAGGTGTTTATGGTCGACAGTGACTGAAAGGTGTCCAGCTGCTGTAGCAGCAGCAGAACACCCACCCTTCAGCACAGTGTTGGAGAGCCTGAGTAAGGAGTTCTTGCTGCTGTAGCCAAACATCTCTACTTTGCTTTCTTCTGTGCAAAAGACATTTTTCAAGACGTTCTGTGGTTCATTAGATGAAACTTCACAGACTTGGACTGTGCTGCAGAGCTGCTGCTTTGTCTCCTGCAGGGTCTGACATCAGGGTGAGCGTGCTGGGACAACCACTTTGGGGGAGATAGACATCTGTCTTGACTGGTTGTTGTTTTTTCATTTTTTATTGGTTTTGTACTCCAGATTGATGGATTCCAAATTGCTTTAAAATATTATAACTTATTATAACTAAGCTTTGCCAGATTGATGGGTTGCAGCAGTTGCATCTCTCAGATCAGGGCTGTCTCTCATGTCTTATTTATCAAACGTGAAGACCTGTTAAGAACCAGAGGACGTTTCTGTGTTGATAACAAATATAAAAGGTGGAAGAACTGACATGGATTGTACGTTGACTACAACACCAACATGACCGGTTCATACTTTTACCTATAAGTTCAGGTGCTTGTTGGGCTGGGTTGGTGTACATGAGGGGGGAGACCATGAAAATGATAACCACCAACATCTTTCTTAACGTCTATGTAAGGAAAAATATGAAACGAGGATATGAAGGAGCAACCAAGAAAAGGAGGGAAGTCAGGAGGGGGCATCCTTCCCCTCCAGTCATTGATGGTTGCTTGTTTTTTCGACTCGATCCTGGTGAAGCTCTGAGGTCAGCCATCTGTCTCTTGAAAACAACTCGGCTTCATCCTTCACTGCCCCTCCTCCATTAACACCCATCTGTCTTTCTCTCTTTCACTTTTTTATCTGTCTTTGTGCTAAACTAATAATCTGCAACTGACAGTTCTGTTGTCAAAGTTTGCATGTATCAATGTAATCCCCAGAACCCCCAATGAAACCACGACACAACTCTTAGTTAGCCTCTTGTGATGAGCAACTCAAAGCAAATAAATAAAATTACAGAGAAAAAAAGACAAAAGAAAAAAATAGAGACCAGAATTGTGTATTTTTCAGTTTTGAGTATAAATGTCACCTTTCGTTAATCTGTTAACCAATTTTGAGCACCCAGTTTCTCTATAACTATAACTGTACATCATCTGATGGTTTGTGGGATGTAGTCGAGTGTTGGCGGACATCAAACAACAAATTATTGATCCAGATTTATTCAAAGGAGTCAACAAAGAGAAGGTTTTGGAGTAAAAGAAAGAAAGAACAGGTAGTTACTGTAAGTACTTGTAACATTTTGACCTAACCACACGAAAAAAAAAAGATTGGCCACAAACATAAAAATTCATACATCATCCTTACCCATGTCCAGCAATCACTGTGCGAGAGGCGGGGGACACTCTGGACAGGTCTCCAGTCCATCACAGGGACACATAGAGACAAACGAGACAAACAACCATTCACTCTCTCACTCTCACCTAGGGACAATTTAGAGTTACCAATCAGCCTAACATGCATGTTTTTGGTCTGTGGGAGGAAACCGGAGTATCCAGAGAAAACCCACGCAGCACGGAGAGAACATGCAAACTCCACCCAGAAAGACCCCCGGACTAGGATTTGAACCAGGGACCTGCTCGCTGAGAGGCAGCAGCTCTACCAGTTGCGCCACCATGCTGCCCAAAAATATTAATTTACATATAAATTTTAATATACCGTACTTGAAACCCTAACCTAGTTTATCTAAAGTCAAACCTAGTTTGAATTTAGTTCAGGGAACTACCTCCTTTTTAATTTTTTTATTTATTCGTCATAAAGTCTCATTGAGTCACGAGGGCTCATTTACAAGAGACCCCTGTTTTAGACAGACAACAAATAGAGTATAGAGTAAGAATAGAAAGCAATTAAAATAAAAATAGTGTTATAAAACACTGTTAGCAGCATGATCCTGTTAGCTGTGTGGTCCTGTTAGCTGTGTGATCCTGTTAGCTGTGTGATCCTGTTAGCTGTGTGATCCTGTTACCTGTGTGGACCTGTTATCTGTGTGGTCCTGTTAGCTGTGTGGTCCTGTTAGCTGTGTGGTCCTGTTAGCTGTGTGATCCTGTTAGCTGTGTGATCCTGTTAGCTGTGTGATCCAGTTAGCTGTGTG